GGATTATTTGGAAATCAGCTTTACAGTAAGCATATCTGGGCAAAATAAGAAACGTGGGTGAAGTCGAGGACACATTATATTACATCTTGAAAGTTTTCTCCAACAAATGAACCGTTACATTTTTATATAGTATTATTGGATACGTTAAAAAAAAACGATACATATTAAAAATGAAAATGATAACAAAGAGATTATTTATCTTAAATCACGATGACTTTGAATGAATTTATTAGAGCATTGGATTGACTGAATCTTGGGTAGTTGGAGGAGTTTGGAGATTTTGAGGAGACTTTTTAATAATTGACTTTTTGAAAGTCGAAATCAACGAAGAAAAATCGTTGAAGTTTATATACTGGATAATGGCTGATGGTAGATGAGAAAAATTAGCAATTAACTTCTCTGGCGGCGCGTATTACGCCGATGTCGCGTCGGCGGTAATTGCTTTTTGCTGAAAACCTTTTTCGTGTTTTTTGCATTCAGTAAAAAGTGATTTGCATAATGCGTGAGGTTGAACATGGTACCGATCGATCGGTTAATTTAAATACTGAATACATATATTGAATGGCGATAGGGCGGCGCGAGCCTGCCTCAGGCCATTAGCTCGTAATTATTGTTACTTATTGCTAGTAAATACCTCGTGCTGGTGTCGCACGCTTATACGACGTGCTACTTTGTAAATAATTCATCTCTTCATCAAAAACAGAACAAAAAAAAATCATTTTCTCCAATTACTATTACTTAGTAATCGTTGTTCTTCAATATTTATAAAAATCATTAATGTATTATCAAATTTAAATTCGTGCTTTTGAATCAATTTAACTTCAAAATGATTTCCTTTGGTCTCTTTTCTTTGTATTACATAGTATCAACAGGCAAATGAACTTGCTCGAGTGTATATATTTTCGCGGTCGAGATTGGCAAAGGTCTACGTCGGCACGTCGTTGGATCCAAAGGTCCTGCGCATGGGCCCGCAAACTCCCGCACAGTATTTACAGCGGAATAGAATAAGGGACTGTTGTGAGGTCAAGTCTTGGGTCATCTGCGGAGGCTTGTGTGTTTCGTGTCATACGATATACCGCCATTTCACTGCTTGTCCTGTTTGTTTTCGTTTTTATGTATATATATATATACACATAATACAGTGTATATCCACTTGCTCTACTTTTTCTTTCTATAAAATTTCTCATGTCTCTCATTTTCAGGCGAATGCATTTTTCAATGCACCGAAACGAGTGTTAACTTGAAAAGATAAAATTCATTTTCTAAGAAATACCGTTAAGATTTATAAACCTCCATGTGTTTTAATGTATACAAAGCATAGTCCATTTTATTTACGATTAAATGATCATTTTGTAATGTTAATAAATAAATCATTCTATTGTTAGTAAGAGTAAAATTGGTATGTTATCATCAATTTGTCGAAACTTATTTTATTGCAAGCAGGGAGAATACAAAATCAGTATGTGCAATCGAGATAAGCGTTGTAAAAGTTGGCCCACACGTCGGTAGATATACTGAGCATTTAGTCGAGAGTATACGTTGCAATAAAACAATGGTAAGATCATGGTAATCATAAAATGATAATACATACGCAACAAGAATCAAGGTCAACAGTGCATTCATTTTTCTCTCTTTTTTGCATTTTATCAACTAACTCATAGAACGATTTTTTAAAAAAAAATCCCATTTTTTTCATTAAAATAAAAATAAACCCATTATTTTTATAATTCTTAATTCTTGGAATGTATTGAAAGAATAAGAAAATAGGGTAGAGTAATAATTATAAGAAGGTGAATAATAAATAATTGTAATATAATAGTAAAAGAATAAGAATGATTTTGATAAACATTTTTGTTACTTCCTCATTCTTGAAGATTTAAAACAAGACTCGACAAAAGGGCTCGGTAGTACGCAAGAGAACCCTCAGAAGAAAAGTGGAAGACAGCAAACGGGGATAATAATAAAACGAGATATCTCCCGTACGTGGGCGGTCGTATTGTTAGCGCAACGAGAGGTATGTGCACGCGCGCGCGCGCGACTTATTCCGCGGTGCTTCTGTCTTTTAGAATTCGTTGTTTGTGTATATGTACATTTAAAGAAGAATAACCAAGAGATGCAACGATGCATGCTGTTACAAAAAAAAAAAAAAATCAAACGACAAAAGAAGAATCATATACTTGGGATAGTACTTTAATAGTTTGTTATGAGTGTAAATAACATAATAATAATAATAATAATAATATTTTATTACAAAATTCATATTATGAATATTTTAAAATAATATGAAGGAGAAAAAAAATGAGTCTGTTTGTTGTAACATTTAGTATGATAAGGATACATAAATGATGATACTATTGTAATAAAATCGCCGAGCGAATAATAATTACAGAAGCTGCTTAAGAATGAGGTATATTTGTATGTTATTTTTTTTCTTTTTTGTTCCATTACATGTCTTGACATTACTGTCTACTGCTCTACTCCAACTGTACGCTATGTTGCTATATGCATGCATGTGTGTATGGTTAGAGAGAACAAGGTAAGATAGATAGTATTTTCAAAAGCCATACCGCCGCGATAAACATGCATTATTTCTCTTAGATGTAGATAACTTGTACACATGCGCTAACGCTATCAGACATTCAATATCACACATCCTCAGGATTATTGTCAAATAATATCGAGATTTATCAAGTAATACATAGTGCAAATATTATATTGATTAGATATTAAATGTCAAATAGATGTTAAGAAGTAATAATCATTAAGTTGGTTTTATATAAAATCAGGACTATCGTAGGTCGTAGGTGGGCTGCGCGTAGGCTAAAAGGGGTCTTGGTCGAATCAAGTATCATGATATTGTGGAACTAAATGATGATGTAAGTAAAGGGTACATGCTATTCATTCATTTCGAAATAATGTGAATTAGTACTTTTACTATCATGTAATTGACCTTTATATTATTTTCATCAACAAAAGTAAAAATAAAGTAATTTTTAATGATAATAAATCAGAGACAATTAATAAAACAATCGTGGGAATGATTTTAAAAAATGATTAAATATACCGATTGTTGCACCTGCACTCCAACAAGTGTAATAATCGTACGTTTAACTTGGAAAAATAATCATTTCATTCATCACTACTTGCGCGATGACATCAGATACATACTTGAGTCAATAAATATCAATGACCAAGTGTTGTTCAGGAGTATCGGTAGTTAAAGGTAACACAAGTTGTAAATAAAGGTGTGTTGTAATATTGTCGGCATCACTACTACATAACAAAGGATGAAGGATTAGTTGGAGAAGAGTCCTTTGATTAAACATGTAATATGTGAGGACAATTGATTACAATCATTCGAATATGGAATATTTGCAGATAGAGACTATTGTCTTTGGATATACATGAAAGAAAGGTCATTTTACAGATATTACAACAAGTCAAGTGTTGGTATTGGAGTAACTTTTGAAATTATTTCATTTTTATGTATAGAATAAAAAAGGAAGGAACATGATTTAAAACAATATCGGAGTAAAGATGAATAAATAGATCTAGTTTGGTACAATTGCAGTAAATGCGATACAAGGGCGCAGTGTGTTTGCTTTGTGCAGACAATTTCTGTACTCTGAACAGCATTTATCTTTCGCGTGTGAAAATAAAGTGTTGCTCTGAATTCAGAAGAAACGAGAAGAGAAAGAGTATGTAGAAAAGATGAGGGAGGAGCTTTAAGAGAAGAGAATCGGTAGCGAAAGACCTTATTAACATTTCGTTGGGATTCACAGAGAGATTAAATTGACAGGAAGGATTTGCGAGTTGTTTGTTACCGAGCTGTCCCTTGGGCGGCGCGCGTGTTCTTAAGACTCCCACAAAGAGCCAATCTCTCGCTACATTTTGCGCGAGATCTTGTTGCTTGTATACAGCTAGTGTATAGAGTGTATAGAGATTCTGGTGCGGTTTATTCAAGTTTGTCTCGATCCGATCGCAAATTCGTAGTCTCCACACATTTCTTGTATTATATTATGTTATGCGTAAAACACTTGCAAGAACGTACAGTATCCTGAAAAGTTGAATTATTTTTCCAATATTATTCTCTCATCATTTTTATATTTTTTCCAATAACTCGTAAACATTTATTATCATTATAAACTGAATTATTTTACTTGAAAATATCAACATATTCTATGTCATGAATTTTTATCATTTTGATCAATGAAATAAATAATATTATGATGACGATGATGTTTATCACATAACTGTTTGTCTATTTAAGCCGTATTTGTTCTATTTTATTCGAATTCATGTCAATAAGATTTTTGGTATGATATTAAAATTGAGACACTACAGTTGTGTAGGCGAGCCGGACATGGTTGATTATTTCGACAACCGGACCCAAACTCTTGTGGATGAGCAATGTAAGCGTAGGCAGTAGCTCGTAGCATTAAGATATAGGACGACGTTAATACTGAAATCAATAGAAAATAAAAACGATCATCTTACAAAATAATAATTGGTAACGTAGGTGGTGGTGGATTGAAAAATGTTTACTCTCATCATTAAAGAGTATTGTCCTTTCTCAAAAAATGACGAAAGATTAGAAAGAGAGAAAAAAAACAATGTTGCAAAAAGGTTTGAGAATGAAAAATATATTATTATATTGATGACGTTGACTTGGGGCACGCGACCATACGAGATTGTCCCCTTTCTCTTGTACTAAACTAGGGCCTGACGTGTTGAGCTGGCCCGAGTTTACCCCACCGTTACCACTCGCGTTGGATCTTTCGCCCACACACGCCCCTCTATGATTCTATACGTCTTTACCCCACCGTTCACACGTGCTTTTCTCTCTTACATGTATTTACTCATCCAACATAGCAACAGATAAATATATAAATGTGTGTACATTTTCCATCTTTCTTTTGGTCTCACGTGGGCACCACTGCAACGACGCAACTACGACCCACACGCAGTTGCCTGTGCCTCCTGCAGGGACCGTCACGTGGCCCCTCTCTTCGTGGTCCGCTCGCGCACGACTCGCGTCCATACACACACCCTCAGTCAGAAACTAACTGAGAAACCGGCTGCCGGACCGGAACGATCGGCCAAAACCTCCATCGACTCATTACGCGTTTGCTTATATTTTTTTTGTTTACTATTATATACGCGTGTATGACTCACAATAAACATATGTAAGTGTATCTCCAAAAGTGCATCAAGTGTAATCCCAAAATAATCTTTTTCATTTACATCACGGAAAAAGTGTCAATTACTCTATTTGACTGTTTTGCTGAAATGTTACTCTTGTTATTATTATGTTGGAGTATTTTTTCATTCAATTAAATGGTTTTTTAATATCAATATTGTGAATTATTTATGACATTGTGGTAATTGATGTTTATGTGTGAGTGTTACAATATTTGTAGTCATTTGGAATATTTGGAATATTTGATATTATATTTTATTCGACTCGTTTACTTGTAAAGTGGTATGGATTATCTGTTATTATACTACTAATTCAGGTATTTTTTGACACATCTTTATATGATTATTTGTTCCAATCTTCACTTCAATCACTCTTTCATTATTTCAATTAATCTCATATAAATTATAGTATAATTGAGCTCTTCATTTTGATTGGTAGTTCAAATTCATTCATATCTCACTAAAATAAATAAATTTAATCAAAAAGAGAAACATTTTTCGTTAAAATAAATGTAAAGGTTATAGTTAATTGAAAAGGAAAAAAAAATTTGATTTGACAGTACGATATACTTAACTAACCACGATAATACAGAAAGCATAACAAGCATCGAGGTCTCTTAATGAAGCGATTCCTATCGTTTTGAAAAATCTGATAATTAAATCAAGTTCTTTACACGCGATATTAATCAAGTCACTGTCGACAAGTAGCTTGTATCGCTCCTTTGGTGTTGAAAAAAAAAAAGAAAAAAAAACACTTTCTGTACACAGAAATAAGTCATATATTTTTGAATGAGCACAAGTCAAAAATTCCTCAGAGTAAAGTCATTTTTTTTTCTTCAACTGTATTAAATGATTAAAGTGACGTGAAGGTACTTGAATAGTGTAAAGAGAATAAAATATATTATTTAAACAACAATTAACTCTTACACAAACAACAGATAACATGATATGTGATTAATAATAGCGTGGCCAAAAAATGAAAACGTTTTGCAACAAACTAATGATATCAACAGGTCGGTATTATAACCACAAACGGAAAAATAATAGTCTCACTGCATGTATGTAAGTGTTTAACATCATTTTTTTAAGATCGTATGACCATTTAATTTCGTAACATGATACGTCGTTAAAATAATGTATCGTGCAATTAACCCCCTGACTGTGGTTAATTAACGGTAAATTTGAAATCAACCAAAACTATCATCGATTAAACAGTAAAGCATAAATGTTTCAATATTATGCATAAACTCAGTACATATTGTATTTAGATATGCAGTTAGAGCTTTTATAATAAGTGTTCTGTCGAGAGTTGTAAAATGAAATTTTTTTTTATATCTGTCACATCTTTTATTATTATTCTCAAGTATCGAAACTTTTTCAATTTCACTATTTTTTATGGCTGGTATTATCCTAAATCTTTCAAATAATAATTAATATATGAGTGAATGTAATGTGGGCGACTAACGGCTCCAACTTGTAGGATTTTTATTTTAAGTAACACATTTGTTTCTTTTTATTTCTTCAGCTTTACATAAATTTATTTATTTCTTGTATTCAAATACAATTAGATGATTAAAATTTTTTTATAATAATATTATTGATGAATATTAATTTCTCTAAATTAAATGATTAATTGACAAGAATAATTTGAAGTGAAGATAAATGGAACAAATGATTGAAAGCATCAATTGAGAAGAAAATTTCAAATTATGAATGATAATAATATTTCAGAAATAAGACAGAATATGAGAAGCATACAATCACAGGAAAGAAGAACATATGAAATAAAATTTAAAACTGCATCTAAGATAATCAATGGATAATCTATTTATCTAGTCAAGCATCTTATTGAAAGAATAAGGGGAAAAAAGAATACTTTCTCATTAATCTGTGATATTGAATAACAGGAAAGCAAAATAATAATAATAATAGAAATAAAAAAAATATTATATAAAATACAGATATAAATATATTTGCCGAGTTAAATGTGCCAGGAATAATAGTTCAATAAAATCACATAAGTGCAAATTAATTTAGTTTTAAAGAAAAAATGTTTTATTATTAATATAATAACGGAGATTGAATAAAATACACGTACAAACACACAATATCACTATGGTTATCTTGGATCCTGAGCAAAAATTTGAAAAACAACATTGTGGTCGGCGTATGTGTGCCATTTGTCGTCGTATCAAGCGTGATAAAGGTAATTATTTGAAATTTAAAATAATAATAATAGTGATAGTTAAATAGGAGAAAAAAGTAGGTGATGGGGGAGGAAGAGGAGAGTGGTATAAAAAAGAAATAAAATAAATTGTCATTGAGTAAGAGGCTAGAAATTTGTGAATGAAACAAGAAAGCGAAGGGCGCGTGTAGGCGTACTGCCCACACATTTTATCATAATCGAGACCTCCGGCTACGTTGTACTCAACATAACCATTCGCGCGTAGAGCAAGGTTGCTTACACGATTTAACGCCGAGTATGTGTCGATTTTATCGATTCTTCGGATCTTTGGATATTATTTTATGTATATACCCTTCTGTATTGTCATATTGATACAACAAAATTATTTACATGTGTTCAATAAATAAACAAAAAATTAAAAACACTCTAGTTATGATGATTTTTTATTTATTTTATTAAGAGAAAAATTCGAGGATGAAATATGAAAAAGAGAGAGAAAATGAGGATAGAATAAAATTGTCATTCTGTGCACAGACATTCGATCAAAGGAAAATGGGTGGGTTCTCCTCCTCTTTTACTTAGGAAGGAGGGATTTGAGATCTGTAAAGACGCATAAGAGGGGATAAAAAGACAAGGAGTCGTATAGTTGCACACGAGTGGCATGCACCTGTGCATTGCCGCCATATAGGATACAAGTTATGGCGTTTTTCCATGCCACGAACGATCGTATCTTTTACCAGCGAAACCAATTCCATTTGTGGAAAGCGTGCAACCGAGGTCTCGCTTGTGCTGTTTCTTTTTGCCGCTATCTGCAGACATACTCTGCAAAGTCGACTGCCACATGATGAAAAGTAAATTAATTATTGTACGGGACTTACAGGTTATAGAAGGACTTGCAATCAAATTGGGGGCGGCCTCGGAAAATAAGAAAAAGGAGAGCGACTGTGATTTTATTTATTTTATGACTAACAGACAATGATACAATAAATAATCACGCACTACTCTTCTCATATTTTTTTTTTCCAATCTTTTTCTTATACATTACTTTGATAAAATAAAGTAGACGCAACTCACTCTATCAAACATTATTAACACTATTCTATTTATTCTATTTACACTCTATCCATTTAATAATAAAATAAACATACATTATTACGTCAGGGATTGCGGTCTTCTGTTCATCGTTGACTCTTTGTTTAATTACGTATGCAACATTCCCCTCTTATTTATACTCTTCCACCAACATACAAACTTTTCATCTTTTTTTTTCTCTGTATATTTTATTATGAAGAAAGAAACAAAAAAAAAAAGACTTGTTTTCAATGATAGAATTAGTAAAAGTTCATTCATAAATGTATGTATGACAGTAAAATAATTCTCGATCGGTAACATATTATTTATATTATCTAAACGATCTTTGTTAACATTCTTTTCTAGTTCACCTTCTCAAACTTGTTGCTACTATTCTGCACGTGTCTTTATCGCGACGTTTTGTTCCGTCTTCTCGACTCTCGAAATCGTAGGTGTAACCAGTTCCTGTAAGTATTGCACGGCTGTCAAGCCCACGTGGTCCGCCTACATACATGTGTGAGAATATATTACTTTAAATGAAAGTTTAAACTTTTTGGTGATAGGAGAAAATGTAAAAAATCTCTTGCATTGAAAATTTTAAATTAAGAATTTGTGAAATTATTCTTACAACCGAAATTCCTTCTTTAAATAATCTCTATTTTTATCAAATATTGTTTATTTTTTTTAATCATTTGTAGTATTCATTATAAATTATTACATTTATAACAATAAACAATAATAAATTTGAAGTAAATAATTATTTTTAAAAATGCAGTTCTTAATTATGAGATGTTTGTTGACGAGAGACATCAAAAAAAAACATCCTTTTAATTACAACTTATTTTTGACATTTAAAAAGAGCATGAAAAAATTTTTTTCGAAAGATTGGAGTAACAGAAATACCCTGAACGAGACGATTGATATAACACTACAATTTACGCAATACACAGTCGCTCGTAAAGCTTCCACTGATTTATACCGACAAACAATATAAATTTAGTTGTGTTTTTAACCCTATTTTTCGACTCAACATGACAGCACCGAAAACTTCATATTTTTTATTCTCATTTTTTCACTTTTTTTTTTTAATCATTTCTCAGCAAATAAAATTTTTCATCCTCATATTCATCATTTCCACCATATATAAATTATTATAAAATTTATTTTCTCTTAATAATTTACTAATTAAAAAAAACCCCCATGTAGTCAATGTCAAGACTTAAAATATGTACATTTCTTTATGTTTAATGAATCTTCACATTTGAGAGATAAAAATGAAGATAAAAAAAAAAGATTTAAAGGGATGAACACAAATATGTATGGGAAATTGTTTATAATAATGGACAATATTGATAGAAGTGTGATGAAGTATTATGTAAAAAATTATATTAATATTGTTCCTATCAGAAGGCGTGGCCATAAAATGGGTGGAGCTTAAACTATAACACACACAAGTATATGTTACACAAAATTATCTGAATGTACATTTAAACATATTAAATTTCTATAAAACAATTTGTATTATATATATGCACTTTATTAGCTTCATGTTTTGTTCTCGTATAAATATTTCATTACTCGAATCAATTTCTAAACAACTTTTAAAAAAATTTATCTTACTTTCTGACTCATTATTTTCAATAAAATTCAAAAAAATAATTTTTGACATTATGACATTTCCATCAATTAAATACTCCAAATACTCTCTACTCAAGCAACTAATCTGAAAATCTATCTATTTATCTACGGAGAAAGAAAAACGAATAAAAAATTGAAGGGAAATGATGAAATCTGAGAAAAAAATACACAGTAAGTAAGAGAAAAGTAAAAAGTTTAGAAAGAACTGGAGAGAAGAGAATGGATGCAAATGGATCCAACAAACGTATATATACAACTCGTATTTGATAATAAGAATGAGCAGAGAGGAAGAAATAGACGACAACCACGACGACGACGACGACACGGCTGTTGGGATCTCCGGGTTCTCGAGGCTTTATTTATACCCAAAGCTTCATATTATTGGATCACCCCCGCGACACTAGCTTGCACTAGTGTGAATGTGTCTTATCCGTCTGTCTATTTTGTGTGTCTTACTGTCTTCTTGTTACGTACACGACATTCAAAAATAGAATGATGGAAAGGAACACGTGAAAAAAATTCATTGCTTCACAGTAATCGGTATGATTAAAATTACAGACTGGAGATAAACATAATACTTTTTTTTGTTCACGATAATCTCAGTTAAATATCATACCACTACTTGTATCTCACAAGTGCAGACTATTTTTTACTTTCAATAATCTGTAATGAATTGATCATGAAAAAATATACTCTACACTGAAAAACAAAGATTCATTGAATCAACTAAAAAAAACCAGAGCCATTTAGCAAAAGTATTTATGGAATGCATGGTTCTATGGTAGTAGTAGGGTAAGATAGTTGAAGGGTAGTTGAGAAATTATAAAATAAACTTTTTTTCAACACACCCACCAATGACCTCAACAATCTAATGTGAACAAAATGTCCTTAAATCGAGTGCAATATTTGACACACACACAGTAATGGCTAAAAATTGTACAAAAGTTTAATCATCTTCCGATACAAAATATACCAAAAGTAAAAGAGAATAAAATGATGGAGTAATAAATGGAGGAATTTGGAGTAATAGATAGGAATGTAAACACAATTCAATAGTGTAAATATTTTATCATTTATACAGCAAGTTTTAAACTTGAAAAGAACTGGTGTATAAATCTTTACTACTTAGAATTCGAATCGTAAACTGATTCGATAGGTTTTGTTTTTGACTTTGAATTTTATGCAATTCTTCTCAGCAATACACACTGTCGTAGAACATTTGATATTCCGTAACTATATATACTGACTGTATTTATTTATATCAACGGTTCCCTTTGTGTGTTAATTTGTACTGTGGAGCGTAGCTTATAAGCCATTCTTGGGTTAGACATTTAATGATTTAGCCAATTCTTAATGACAATATAATCAATAATGAATTTTACCATTTTTTATTCTATTCACGATAATATTTGATATGATGCATTATCGTCATCGCTGCATTATTATAATTACCTTTGAATTTTAATTATAAAAATATGTATATTTATAGTTTAAGAATTCTAACGAGCGAGAATAATACATATGTATACTGTTTAATAATATAATATATTTAAAAAACAATGTCATTGATTATACATGCTTGTATGTATATAAAATTAAGAGCTCCTTTATTTATCTCGATATATTTCATGATTCACATCCTTTATGTTGAATGGCGGCCGACAAGCAGAAAAAAAATAAGTAACTCGTTGTACGAAAGAGATCATTATCACGAGCAAGTTGCAAACGAAGTGCATCTCAAGAGTGTCGTCAACACAAATATATTCAAATATATCACTTTTGTTTATACAATAACAAATTTTTAATTATCTACAAGCTAACAGAAATAGTAATTTTTTTCTTTTATTTTGTTACAGCATTGAAAGTTAAATTAATGCTAAGGAGACCAATCAACCAATTAGTAGCTCAGGGTATCATACCATGTGAGTATCATATATTTATTCAATTATTATACACTAAATAATTTACTCCCATTTTACTTATACTAAAATATTCATCTTTTTCTCATTTTTTTTTATTCAAAGAAACAAACTTTTATTTATGAATAATGGGAAATATTTGATTCAAGTTGTTGTTTTTTCTTGTGTGAAAGATATGATTATAAAATTTTTGGATAACAGTCAACAAAATGAATAAGTGTGTATTATAATATTCTGGTATTACGTATATTATATGTATTATACACAGATATATGTATATAGGGCCACCGAACTCACCGCAAACTAAACGCAACAACTGGAACACAGCCCATTTCATATACATCAAAATTGTTTACTTGAGTTCTCTTATACTCACTCATTTTCACTTTACCCTCGATATAATCCAGTTGGCAAAGTTAAGCTCTATACCAACACCACTCATAGTCTCTCCAATTACGTTTTAGTCTGCACATCCACCGACGCATTATATTCCCGAGAAAGAGCTAAATGGTCATGCCTCTTTTCTCTCAGCTACAGTGTTAGGTGTAGATACCTCTTCTTCTTCTTCTTCTTCTTCTTCTTCTTCTTTACACGACGTGTCTTCTTCATGCACCAATTTAGAACGCTTTCGCAAGTCGTGACAATAACAGGAGCTGCAAGCTTGATCTAATTCATCAAAACTATTTGCCTTCCATCCAAAACATAATCTAGGCTCACTAATTATAGCTGTTATGTAGAATATCTTGTAGTTAGCATGTAACAGGTGCATTTCCGTGTTACTATCATTTTTTTTTCCATGTTAACAATAGGTTAAAATTATTAGTAAATTTTCAAAATTATTATTAGTGTATTTACTTTTTTCTAGCACTAAAGACACCACCTGCATTTCATGAACAACGTAAACAGTTGGAGCGTGCTAAAACTGGTGATTTATTGAAAGCTAAAATTCAACAAAGACCAGGACGAGATGAACTTGTAAGACAACATATCCTTGAAGATGTTGGACATGTTGATCCTAGTCTTGCTGAAAGGCAGCGTATGTTAAAGAAAGCACGACTTGCTGATCAACTTAATGATCAACTTAGTCATCGACCTGGTCCACTTGAGCTTATACAAAAAAATATTCTTCATACTGAAGAACCTATAGAAAGAGCTATTAAGGGTACGAAAGAGCATATTATCATATTAAATAACAAATTAAAAACATTATAATAATTGTAATAAAAATTTTTTAGAGGGTCATATCCCATTTAAAGCGACGTGTGAGGGTCAGTTAACTAAACCACAACATCCCGACCATTATATTAATTTCGAGGATGATTCACAAAGTTCTGAGGGCACCCCATCGTCGCCTGTTGAAACTCGATCTGATGTGTTAGAAACCGCAGCGAAATCAGCTGGAATTGTAACTGTATCTCTTAATATTCCTACAACCGGTGGTGCTGTCGTTGTATCTTCACCACCACCAACCTTCCATCAAACGACTTGCAGTGAATCTACCATACAAACATTTAATGAATTATGTCATACAACTGTTAATAATCGATCGCCTCAGCAGCAACAATTACAATCACATCATCAACAACAGCAGCAACAACGATCACAGAAACAACAGCATGAAAAGCAACATCATCAACAACAACAACAACAACAACAACAACAACAACAACAACACCAACAAGAAAAGCAACAATTACAACAATTACAACAACAATCTAATCAACAACTTGGTCAGCATCAAAATCAACAGTATACGTTGTCTCAGGTACGTTAGGATTGTTAAATTTAATTGAGGACCTTACAATGTTTTCTCGCACCGGTATCTATACGGTTCCCCCTCGTTAACCTAAGGACCCACTGGAATTTCAACTTCTTTTCATTTCGTCTTCTCATTTTCGAGTCACGCTTGAATTACATGAGACGAGATCGAATTTACGATTAATCCACTCTCTTTATAAACATAATATCATTTTTAATTAACTGATTATTTTATTTATTAACTAAATATGTTTATATATATTTTAGAAATAGTTTATATCTATTATTTATTTAATAGGCAAATCAATCAAATGGTACAAATGCAACTATCTTGCCTCTGGTACCAGCACCTAGTCCGATGTCTCTTGGTTCAACCACATCAAGTCTCAGCCCCTTATCAAACATTTCAATAGCATCACCACCTGCACCACCACCTGCATCAGTCACACCTAGACCACAACCTAGTCCAATAGCGATTACTGCGTGTCAACGAAGTGATGCACCAGGAAAAGATAAAAACCGAAAAAAATCTAAAACTAAGAGTCAACCTAAAACACGTACAATCAAATTTCATGAATACAAGGTAATTATGGATTTTATGGAACTTTTATTGACTGATAAAATATGAAATATGTAAAACAATAAATTGGCACGGAAAAATTGGGCCATAAATATCCTCTATAACTATACTGTTCTTGATTGGAGAGTATTCTCTTACTTGTTGCTTTCATCGCGTGAAATACTGATATAAGAGAAGTCGAGCACCAAGATCGTATCGAATGATTAATTCTTGTAATCTCGTCGCAAAGTGTACCAGACCACCTCGTTAGTACTGAGTAATTCAAGCGCTAATTGCACTTGAAGATGGTGTTGCAAAATACAAATATTCAAGTCATTTTTACTCAATTTTGTTTATAGATAGTTTAAAATACAAATAAACATAAATCACAATATTATTTTCTCATAATTGTTTTTATTAATTCTTTTTTATAATTATGTTTGAACATTTTTCAGGGACCTCCAAATGCACAAAAGACGTCTGTATCATCGTCTAGCACAGGTCTCAGTTCTGTATCATCTAGCGAAACTAGCTATGAATTACTTTTGCAACAACAACAGCTCTTTCTTCAATGGCAGCTTGAGTGGCAGCACAAGGTATATTCATAATAAAATAATAAATAATTATTCTCACTCGACAGTTACTACTATTATCCTTAGACAAAATTGTTGTAACAAATTACAGTATTGTTTTACTCCAATTCTAAAAATAATTATTATTTTCCAGTATCCTAAAATAATTCTTCCGGCAGCACAAAAATCATTGTCGTTAACTAGTAGTGGAGCGAGTGATACTGGCAGTATAAGTGGTAGTAGTGTTAATGCTCCAAGTCCAGCTCCTTCAAATGCATCCAACAATCCCTCAGAACAACCACCATTAAGGCCTCTAGGCAAGTTAGAAGACATGAAAGTGAGCGATCTAAAAATAGAATTGAAAAGGCGAAATCTTCCAGTATCTGGCTCTAAGCCTCAACTAATTGAACGATTAAAACCTTTTACGGAATTATCAAGCAATAATATATTAAATAATTCTAACGGACCTATTGTTACACAAATGGGCCATATTCTTATGGATATTCCCGGACCAATAACATCTGACGAATCAAGTTTACATGCTAAAACTCCTGAATCGCCAATAAAAGATGAACCTCACAGCCCTCGAGTTGATTCTCCTCATAATAGTGAACATGATGATCCATCAAGTCCACCAGGTAAGTCTCTAATATTAATCACTTTAAGTAATATATCACTAAGAATACTTTATTTATATATTCTTTTAGGAGATGATATTATTAAAGAACAACGAAAAAGAATTGAAGAGTTACAGCGTGAACTATATAAATCACAACAACAACTCCAACAAATACGTCAAACACAACCAACAACAGTACGAGCAGAAAAGCTCGTTCTTCAACACCATATACAGAATAAAATGCATCAACAACAGCTAGCATTACATTTACAACAATTACAACATCTTCAACAACAACAGCAACAGTCACAGCATGAAAAGCAGCAGCAAGAAAAACAATTTCACCAACAACAGCAGCAACAAAAATCAAATCAACATGAAAACAGTAATTTTCAACAACATAACACAAAATCAATCTCTTCATTATTTTTACAAGCTCAATCAAATACTAATAATACCACTCTTTTAGATTCTACGACATTAACAGCTATTAATAATAAGAAAAATCAAATGAAAAATAATAACACTACTGTACAACTGCCTACTGCAATTGTTCTTAATTTAACGAAGCCAACTAAAATAAATGGATCATTACTTGGTGCATTAGTTGCTCAAGCCCAAGTCCAACAACAACAACAGCAACATCATTCGGTTTCAACGACAACTACGACAGCGACAACTACTACCACTGAGAGTAAATCATGTCAGTCACCGTACGATGAAACTACAAAATTATTAAAGGTACAGAATTATTTTTTTTTCTCTTTAAAAAAATAAAAATTTTATCAAGTACATACGTGTGAAAATAATATATTATATTTATATTTAAAAGGTTAAAATAGAACCACTTCAAAAAAATCACATTAAAAGTCAAGTAGTTGATGATGTACTGGAAATTTTAATAAAAAATGGTGAATTACCACCGAGTGCCGCTCAAGACCCTTCAACTCCTACAACACCAAATCGTCAATTACAACAAAATTTAATATTTTCAACATCTGTAGACAATGAAACACCATCTCTAGTTTTTTCAACATCAAACCCATTGAGTCCAATGGCTATGGACGTTAGTCAAAGTGATTGTCCAAATTCACCTATTTCCTCTGTTCAACCTCCAATACCACCTCCTTTACCACTTGCTACATTTTCTGTTCAATTACCTAGTGCATTACAACAACAACAACAACACAAATCACAAATTTCATCATTTATTAATTCCAATAACGATAATGATACTGCAATGTTACTTAGTCCACAATCTACTCAACAAGGATCTCCTGATCCTCAACCACCTCAAGAAGTTACTTCATCTGATAATTCAAGAGATTTAGATCTCAAGGTAATGCATAAATAAATAATTATTGCAAAATATATATATTTTAAACTGTGAATTATCAATTAATTTAATTATAATTGTAGGAATTGGGATTAGACCTTGAAACATTGGATACAATGGATTTTGGTCAATTAGATTGTGATTTAAGAGTAAAAATGGAAACTCCACAAGAATTTATGGAGATTGGTGATATGCCAATGGATATGGATGATTCTGATTGGCTTGATTCGTTGATGCCACAATCACCATCATCATTAGCAAATTCAACCATCACCACAAATACATCTAGTGTTGCTGCAAATACAATTTCAACAACAACTACTGTAACTACATCTAATTCTATTCATTTTTCTATTCCTACATCTGTTGAATCTACAGCCAATGATCTTTATGATCCACTGCTCGCTAATAGTCAGGATCCATTTGATCTTTTTAACATCGAAGATTCTGATTTTAAAATGTCATCAGATCTTACATTAACATGGGACAAAGTTGATTTTGCAGCATAGCCCTTAACAATATGGCCATATGTACTTAACAATGAAAATTTTTTACCACTAATATGATTAAAAATAAATAAATCGTATGACAGTCATTAAAATGATAATTAATTATTGATGATTTACACAATAAATTATGTGTACTTATTAATATAAAAATATGCACTTTGAAAGTTTTATATATATATATACATATTGATACATATATATATAGAATAATCAATTGAAAAATGGTAAAAAAATGTAATAAATAAAAAAATCTTTTATACTAGGAATACGTCGCGAAGAAAACTCGCAATCAAGTGACGACCTAGTCAATTAATAATACACATAATAATATAATGTATAAATATAAATAAATTTTTAATGTATTATGATGCTAGATATAATCAATTAAGAAGAACGAAATAAAGATACATATAAAGACGAAAGATAATTCATCATTGTGGACCAAGACTGGAACAAATGTGTACGTACTATATAATAAATTTATATAGTACTAATGAATTGATAAAATTGTTCATTTGTATCGGTGGCTAATCAAATAAAAAAACATTTTAAATAATGATAAATCATTGAAATTTGTCGATTTAGATAGAGATTTTACTAAATATTAAATGGGAACAAATGATAATTATTAAACGAAAAACATAAAAACGAGTGACAATACTCCAAAAAATAGATCAACCACTAAAAAAAAAGGAATCAACAGCAATAATTTAAATTCTCCAAAGAATTCCTCGTTATTGAGGTGTTTAGTTAGTTTTATTATTCAATTTTTAGTTAAGCGTTGTTTGAATTTTAATTATTGTGGGTAATATATAAATATATATATATATATATATATATATATATATATATATACCAAGTAAATACAAAATGATAATGCATCTACTTATCATTTATTGAATACTAAAAAAAAAAAAAATTCAATTAAGAATTTACCTTGACTTTATATTATATCTTAAACTACAACATAGGTGGTAAAATAAAAATAAAAAATTACGATAATAATAACAGTAAGATAAAAATAACATAAAACCGATTATAATAATAGTATAATATAGGAAAACTAATTACAAAGTTGAGGAATGATTTAATGACAGTGCTTGAAAATCTTTATTATCGATCTGTGAAGTAATATTTTTCTTACTGTTTTTAATTTAATATATCAAAAGAAATAGAAATATTCATATTTATTAAGATTTTTAAGCTGAGTCAAACTTATCAAATATTTCATATATGCCAGAGCATGTGATTTCTAGACTATTCAATTATTATTCTTATCAATCAAACGAAACAAAATAAGATATTAGGTAAAAAGTACACATGGCATGGCGCGACTGGATTCGTAACATATGTACTTATTTTTATTTTCCACACAAATATATATATATATACACACATAAAACAAATATATATATATACTACATATGTGTATATTTAATTTTACGACATTCCATAATTTAATTTTATCATCTCACTGATAAATAATTGTTATTTTCCTTGATTAATTCAAAGATTTCATAATTTCATTACAATTTATTTATAAATATTCATTAAAATTTTCATTGGAAATTTAGATTACTATATTGTTCTCGTTAAATTTGTCGTGCCTGCCACTTTTATCTATTTCGAAAAAAGTAGGTAATATGAAAATGTATGATTCTAAATTATGGATAGCGAAATTCACTAGATTTTTTATTCTAAATATGTAAAAAAAAAAAAAAAAATTTTTAATTGAGAGTAAGATTATTTTTGCGATAATGGTGCTTATTTCAGTTTTTTTCTTTGTTTGTTTGTTTTTTTTTTTCAATTTTCGGGTTTCCATTAATAATGCGTCACTACGGCTAATACCCAAAGATATTGTACTTATAAATCAGTGAAATATTTTATGCATATATTATTAATAAAATTCCGAATTTATTGATGAAATTTTATTACAAATTCTCGTTGGCAAATTTTTTCTTTTCAATAATATTAGATATCAATTTTTTTGATATAAAATATTAATAATAATAATAATGTTAATAATATTTTCAATTAAATAAATTAAAATTATCGATATGAAACAGGATAGTTTTTTTTTAAATTTAAAGAGGAATAAAAATACTGCCATTTTAAGTTAATAATATAATATGTTACATTTGAATTGATAAGTTATAAATTTTTTGCCTAAGGAAATATCATAGTCTATAATAGTCACATTCCAATAATAAATGTTCCTCGATTCCATTTCACGATATGCCCATTAAATTGAATCAATATAGTTGCATGCTTCTGTATAACTAATTTTTTTGTTTTTTTATGATAATGCATTTAAAGCTTTATTTTGCGAAAAAAACATTCAAAATTTTAGAAATGTATAGTTTGCAAAATTATTGTTGCATTTAAATCAGTTCTATTTATTATAAATTTTTACTTTTAAAATGTAATAAATATGCACCGAGAATTTTTAATAAACATTCATCGTTCGATTGATATGAAATTTTTTTCCATTGATTATGATGAATATATCGAAATTTAAAAAATGTTACGAGCGAGAAATTTATTAATTAATGCTCTGTTTTAGATAATTAATTAAGTGTGCCAAAATAGAAGAAAAAAAAATGAAAAAAAATTGCTGCCAGATATTGCTTTTTTCATATTAGCACCTGATATTGCCATGACAATAATACTTGTCTAATTGTTTTGCGTAAAGTATTGTAATATAATATAAAACATCAGAAAATAACTGAATGGTAACTGAATGGTCAGTGTAAAAAGTTCTATGAATATTATTTAAAACTTATTATTATTAATTTTATTATTATTTTATTTTCTACTCAACAGTGGTAAATATACAAGTACGACTGAGAAATAAAAAAAAAATAAATCAATTTTTTGCTTTATTTTAAATTATTAATTAGTATAATTTTTTTCGAATAAGATATTGATGAGTTAATAATTAAATTGGCAATGATTATTTCTATCATTGGGCTGTGCAAATTTGTAAGTGTATTATCAAAAATATATTTGACTATATTTTCATAACGCTTTTTAATAGCGTTACAAATAAATATTCATTTAACATATTTAAATAATTAATAAAATGATAAACAAAACAAACAATTTAATAACAATAACGATACATAAATACCAATAATTAAAACATTTTCGGTATATTAGCTACGATCCTATTTAATATATCATTTGTACGAATGAAAAATTTGGATACGCTAAATATGTATGTTGCTGCAAATATGTATAATCTCACGGACTAGATATGAAATTTAAAAAAAAATAAATCAATTTAATTTATCATTATAATTTCATATTAGAATACTGGTTTATAAAAGAGTGTTATTTATATTTATTTGTTGCAAATTTACTGTTTGCCTTTTACTTATTGAATAAATAAAGAATTATTATAACATAATTTTTTCATCGTTCTTGCAATAAATAAAGTGTTTAGATTTGAATTATTTTTCCAACCCCTCTCCCCCTTTTTTTTTTGTTTTATGAAAAACTGTTGTATGGTAATATTTATTATTATGAAATTTTAATCAGTTTTATTTATTTTTTAAACACTGAAACTTACCACAAAACCTATTTATTATTTCATGTAAAAAAATAATGAAGGATGTAAATAAATTTAAACACCATTTTTCCTGTATTATCTATTTAGATTTTAATGAATTATTCAGTACACACCATGTACATATGAATATATATATATATCTTAATTATATGTATATCTTAATTACATATGTATATATATATATATATATAAATAAATAATACTGTAAACATAGTTGACACGTTGAATAATGAAATTGCAATAAAATAATAACAAAAATTAAGAAAAATTTCGCCAAGCAAAAATTTTAATCATTATATTTTCAATAATATCAATTAATTTTATCATTAAATTCAAAAAATTATTTTCTTCGTTCAACCTATTATTATTAATACCAATTGTACAAATATAACAGTTCAATAGTTTTATCATTAAATTATAAATTTTACTAATCATTCTGTAATAATAATTCAATTCAAACTGTTTGTTATACTGTACACTTTAATTGGCTGTAGTATCGTATTTTATAAACAAAACTTTTCAATATAATACACACTTATATTTAGCGAAGCCTCACTCTTAACACATTTAAGTTAACCACCACAGTCAATTATAAAATAGTATTTAGACAATTTGCATTAACTATTATTTTTCATCTATTTTTCGATACTTGGTTTTCAGTACATTGTAAAGTAAAGCTTCTATAAATGAAATTATTCACACAGCATAATTTTGTACTTTACATTAGCCCGTCTTGGCCGTTCGTATCCTACTGAAAGCGGTCATTTCAACAAGACACTAGGCTATAGAGACAATTACAAAACCATATAGTAAGTTTTGTTATTTTTTCGAGCATTAGCAACTTACACTGATATGCTTCGTGAATTTTCAAATCTTAATACCCTGTTTACGTCTATTTTACTAAAAAAAATAACAGTAATTAATTACAAGCAAACATGATATTCATTTGTTATAATTCAAATATATCATCTTTAAAATGCATCATTTCAATTGTTTCATTTGATTATCCAATAAAGAGTTTATTTTAATAATTATCGCAACTAATATAATAACTTAATATTTATAATAAATAAACATGCACTTTCATTATACCTTATTCGTATTATAAATTATTTACATTACTTATATACATTATACAAGCTGAATTTACATGAAATTTATAATACAAGTTTACAAGATGCCAGTTCGATGTATTCGTTAATTCACGTTATGAAGTACATTTTAACTAATAATAATGTGACAGTATATACACGAAATCATAAAATTACTTGTTGAATTAACATTATACTAAATAACATTGACACCAACTAAACGATTCTACAGCGAAAACAATACTAATTGCATTGAAAAGACAAAATAACAGTATTGAATATCAAGTAATAAATAAATCACAAAATTATATTCTATTTTGAGAAACTATAGACAACTGATTCGACAAAATATATTTAAAATTAAACAATAATAATATAACTGATTAACGACAATGTTTTCAAAATTATCAGAATATAATTGAAAGTTCTATTTACAGTAAATGTAAATTGAATATTGTATAATTTTTATTTCAATTTGATCGAAAAAAAAAAAATTATGGATGAACGAAAATGAATATAAAAATAAGAAGAAAACATCGTCATTACATTATATATATAATATAGTTTAAAATTTTGAGATTATCAGTATGATTTTTTCATTGATCCACTTCATTACAGTGTAATTCGTAGAAAGCCAGATGGATGAAGTATGATTTTATGAATAATGATACAAATAAATAAATAAATAAATACTTTTTAAATATAGATAAAGGCTAAAGAAAGTACTAACCATTAGGCAACATTGTATTTAAAGCCATCTCATCTGATATTAAAGTTCATCTAATTAATTTTACTATTATTGAATATTTCAATTCGGATTAGAAAAATATTATGATTTAAATGACAAATTGTTTTGAAATTTTAAAAAAATCATAAATCAATGTATTGCAAACATGATTTTAAATTTTCAAATATTTTGAAAAAATTTCACTTTGTTTCGTATACATAAATTTCCATTGACTAAGAAAAAAACCAATTGTTTAATTATTTAATTTGTTCTTGTAACCCGTAAGAATTAACTCTCATTTCTTCAATCATTTTACACCACTCCAATGCAAATCCTTCAGGATCTTCAAGGTAATATGTTCTGTTGGGCTGTTGTAATACAAAACAAAAAAAAAATTATTATTTTTCTGAAAGTTATTTCAAAAACTACTGTTAGATTACATAATTGATATGACTGGATACATACCGTATGAACAAAGAAGATTTTGAAATTTTTCGGTTCCACTCTGAGTTCTGGACTCCACGGTATTTCTCCTTTTAGTACCATGTTAACTGAATCAACATAGTATAAGTGTGGTCCAGTGGTAAGTAAAAGCATTCGTTTTCTGGCAAAAAGACCTTTTCTTTTATTAACAAATCCTTGCTTAAGAATGAGATTATTTTCAACAAAGGGATGCCACGGACTAGAAATACGTTGTGCTTCTAGCCGATTTTTCATTTCATCGGGTGTTAAATTTTTTATAGACATATTCGATTGTTTAGGTTTTTCAACAGTAACTGATGATATTGCAGGTACTTTTTGCTCTTTATGTTCTTCCTCGCCGATTCCAAGACCAAGTAATCTTGTAAGCTGTTTATCATCAAGACCAGGTTCTAAATGATCTGGAACTCTATAATGAGAACGTAATTCTTCATGTTCAGATGTACCAGGTAAATACGGATAAATAGGTGGCGGTGTTTGTTCATCAAGAGTCTCAAAATCAACTCCCTCAAAGAAAGGATGTGCTCTTATGCTTGGATATCCAGCACCATGTTCATCTTGAGCACCTAATCTTTCCGTTGAATCTAATACTAACAATTGACTAACAAGAGATCTAGCTAATGGACAAAAACCATCAGGAATTTCATATTCAAGTTTGAGAATTTTTTGGAAAATGAGATATTCACTTCTCGAACGAAAAGGAGGTAATCCTGATACCATTTGATAAATAATACATCCTAATGCCCATAAGTCAGATGCTCTACTAGCTGTTTTATCAGTCAATATTTCTGGTGATACATATTGGGCAGTTCCAACAAACGAATTTCTTCGCGGACGTCTTTTTTCTGGTTCATCTTTATTTAACGAATTATCTTCACAAGGTTGTATCAATGATGTGTCAGAATCGGAGTCATCTTTAAGAATTTTAGCACTACCGAAATCAGTTATTAATATATGCATTTTATCATCAAGAAGAATATTTTCAGGTTTAAGATCACGATGAATGATACCAAGTCCATGTAAATACTCTAATCCTCGTAAAATTTCAGCTGAATAGAATTTTGTACATTCAATATCAAATGATCCAACTTTATTGATGTAAGGAAGTAATTCGCCATTTTTAGCATATGAAAGAACGAAATAGAGGCGTTCTAAATCTTGAAATGTACAAAATAATCGTACAAATGAATGTTTAGCACCTGCTAACATATTTAATACTTCTTTTTCTCTCTTAATATATTCAGTTTTCTTTTCTTTGATGATATAACGCTTTTCGCACACCTTTATTGCATGTTCTCGATTGGTATGGATGTCTTTTGCCAAATAAACCTGTCAAAAAATCATGACACGAAAAATTAGATTTACTATAAAGTAATTTTACTTGATAAATAAATAAACCAACTACTTACAATAGAAAAACTGCCTTCACCAATGACTTTTCCAAAGATATAATCCTTAGGAGTTCGCTTTTGGATCAAAATATTGGGATCGGGAGGATTGGTCGTTGATGGTCGTCTTGCTATAAGATTATCAGCTGGTGCCACCACACCGTTGGTCACATCATTTGTTGGTGGAGACATTTTAGACTGCATCGAACCTTCCACTGTTACCGTTGGTTGAGTCGACACTGTCGAGAGTGACGAGACAGTAAGCGTCTGGTTAGCCACACGCTGAAATAAAATTATCCACTTTGTTAAATATTTTTCTTTTTAACGAATATTTAATTTAATATTCAATGAAACATAAGAAAATTTGATATATAAAACACTCGCATTAAAATAGACACAGACGATAAGCAAATATTATAACAGTCTGTGTAGGTCTGGCCCCTACTTAAATCAATCTTATATGTTTCCGGTCTTTATGACAATTGTGAATTATTTGTTGTAATACAAGGACATTTAACCATTTACATCCTGATGTATTCTACTATAATCTACTTTTAAATACAATTAAAATACTTGTTTTTTTCATCATATATAGATATGTATTTGAATTAAAAATATGTTTAATATCGAAAAGTGATATTGTAAATGACAAGAAATGATAAATATGGAAAATTTTCAAGTTTACTACATGTCATAATCGACATAGGTCGTAGACCATGAATTGCCGGCGTGATCAAGCTGTTTCCGGTTTCATGACCGAGACTACTGTTGGCACATAAGTAAGAGTAGGCAAAGAAAATAAAACAAAGATAGTAAGTATATATAAGGCAGCCGCACCAGTATAGTAGTCTCGTCGTCTCGTGTGGTTCTATTCATGTTTACGTGTTGTCGGCCTAGCAACAGCTGTTTGGCATTGAGAAATAAAACCCAGCACTATCGTTGTCCACTACTCAACAATCATTCCATTTCTCAACTCCATATACATGATACGATAGTGATAGGATGTATATCATCATCTGTGTTGTCATCATCATCATAACAATAACACATTTTTCAGTATTTTTATCTGTTATTGTGTTGAAAACAAGCTGTCAATGCACTTAAATGTTGTTTTCAGACAATATATTATCATCATTCAATCTATGAATACGTTTTTTTCTTTTTTTCATTAATGGAATATTTCTTGTCAAATTATTACTACAAACTCAACGAACCCTATGGTGGCATCATATCAACCATGCGTATCAGGACATCGACCTTTCAAAGCGTTAACCCGGGAATAAGCCACCGGTCTGTTTGCCTTGTCTGCTCGCTTATTTATTTATTCGCTTATCCATTTTCTCCCTTTCTATTCAACTTAAAGTATGATCTTCGTAGGTAAAAAAATTCTCTATAACTTTAGATTCTTCCAAAAATTTCAATAAATCAAAAAAACTTTCTAATTTCTATTTACATAAAAAAAAATATATCATGTCATAATTTCAATTTATCTCACAGCAATACATACTTCACTTGAAAACAAATATTCACATATGCAGATAAACGTTGTAATAAATATTACAAAATAAAGAGAAGAAAAAAAAAACAAATTAAAAGTTGCAAGTATAAAATATTAATGATACATGTTGGTGTAAATATACATAAGTTGTCGTATAGTATGCGTGAAGAAAGTAAATGAACGTAAGTTTTATGAATGGCCGTTAGAAATTGTATAGTATAGCAATGTATAGTGTGTGTGTTTTGTTTGTTTGTTCGCCAGTGTATGTGTGTATAAAACAGTTTACATTATGTATCCATACTACAATTTTAGTTTGTATCATTTATTTCTCTTATTTGATTTTTCTCTTTTTTTTTAAATACTTTATTTAATATACGATATCAATATGTTACATATACTCTGACGCCTAGACATCTATTAATATAACTATGATATATACCATGTGGTATTTAATATATATATATATATATATACATCTTTTGTGCATATAACTATAACTATACACTGTAGAAGTTATAGAGTAATACTACACTGCAACGACAATTCTAATTTTAGCTACGGACATATTTTCCGTAAGCTTGTGTTTGTCAAGTAGACTCATGTATATATATATATAGTATACACAGGAAAATGTGTATATACAATATGGTTTAAGTTTTTCCCACATTAACACTATTTTTTCCTTATAATTATTTTACGTTTATCTTTATTACGCAATAAAAAATAATAATAGTATAATAATTATTTTAGTTTACATAGAATTGATATTGGTGAGTATTAATGCATCAGACAAATAAAAATGCAGGAGTACACATTTAACCGTGAATGAGATGTTTTGCATTCGCAGACGATGAAATTTGCAATGGCGTAGCACATCATACTATCAAATGCAAAAATAAATTGGAACGCGCGCTTTCTTTTCCCTCTCTATTCTTCACAAGGAGATACTGTTTTCATACATAACTTATATGTAAATGTACAATAAAATAATTAATGTTTTTTTTTCATAGAGAAAACAACAAGTATCATTACATACTGACGTGCAATTGATATTATTATTTACAATTTAACGAAATATAGTATCAACTATTTAAATACTAATTATTGAATTATTGATACTTTTTAATAATTTTATCTTCATAACAAATGTAAAATTATTTCCAAAGATTTTTTCATCACATTTATCATAGTTATGCTCACAGAATATCAACGTTACAAGTGTGACATATAAACGTTCAACCATTATTTGGTGTAACTAAATAATATAAAATATGTAAAACTTACTGTAAATACTACTATATCAAATAATTTGAAATGAAACGAAAGTGGGAGAAAAAAAAAGCAAGAGAAAGAATGTAAACAACTTTCTATAAGTGAGAGTTTTGTAATCATTGCGTATTTAAACATCAATAACAAACCAATTGTAACGAATATTGTACACAAGGATATTTTTTATAATAATAATAAAAATAATATTGTCTAATTTGGAGTAATAAACATTTTTATAAATGTATTATCAATCGCACATTTATGTACAACTTCTCACTATATTTGACCTGGTTTGAATTATCGTAAAATGATTGATTTTTCTTAGATAAGACTCTAAAGGTCACATAAATAGATATTCAGCAAAAAAAACAAAACAAAACAAAACAATGCGTAGTACACACTATTATTATTTGATATCATTGTTGTTCTTATTACGACATTATTTATTGAATTAATTTCTGTCTATCCCAATACCGTAAATAAATAATATTATGTATTTACCTTAAAAAGCTTTTTAAGTTGTCGATAGCCGCGATGTAATCGCGACATGTATTGCTTGTTGGAATCCAGCTTGAATTTTTAAATCCACCGTGGTAATGAGAAAACAGAAAAAGTCAAAACTTTGATAGAAACGCACAAAAATGCAGCAAAACTTTGATTTTAATGCAATATTTTTTATCAACTGGTTTAATGCAGTTAAATAACAATCAATAATTATCAAATGAAATGGAGTTTAATGCAAATATTGGACGGAACGAAAACTATTACACATCTGCTACGTTCAAACACTGTTCGCTCACTGAATTTCTGTAGTCGTCATCAGTCGTCGTTTCCCAAGTTCTTACCCGCGCTTTCTCCCCACCATACGGTTAGCTAGAATTCCACCCCAACCGTTAACCCCCACTCTTACCAATAAGTACAAGTTATATATACTGTAGGTGTATGTGTGTGTATACACACCTTATAGTATGTATACTCTAGTATAGTACTATACACATACAAATTTCCACTACTACTGCGGTATTTTTCTCAGACTCTACGCTGCATACTATTTACTATCACTATACTACATCATATATATGTATTTGTTAAAGCTAAACACAAACACACCAATACACAGATCTACAACATTTAAAGATTTTACTTATATTTAATGTTTTTAAAATTACACAGACAGCAGTTAATTATACATTTAAAACTTCAAAAATGACTAGTTTAAAAATATCAACTAGAAATGTGTCAATGAATGTAAGGATATTTTTGAAAAATAAAATCTACGAGACTCCTTTTATTTAGAATTGAGTTTTAAATAAACTATGTACACTGTAATTTACTTCTATACGTCATAAATGATGAAAAAAAGCAAAAGTATATATTTTAAGAAGTCAGCAAGTATATGGGTCAGATAACAATTCAAAGAAAAAAGAAATTACATATGATATGTATGTATTTAATTTCTATTATTACTAAAATTTTAAATCAACACGTGTACGTCTATGTGAATGCATATATGTGTTAAATAAGAGTAATAAAATGTGTTGTAAAAATAGTAGTAAGATAAAGTAATGCAGAGTATGTATGCTGTAGACTTGTATAGAGTGGAGACTATGGGCTGTACATAGTAATTGCAGTGGCGCTATGAAATTCTATTCCTGTACTCTTCAATTACGTAGACTACGACAGCCACATAGTAGTGGAGGTAAGCTCTATTATATACCACATGTGCATTCTTTTAGTTGTAGTATATTTGTTTGTTTACAGGCGCATTCTGGGAAACACACTTCTATTCGATACGAGTAACGGTTTCAAATACTGAGACTTATTGCATTTCCATTCTAGTGAACTCACACTACACATCCTGTCAATAATTCTTTTTTCGCCTTCTATTTAAAATTTTTAATACTCTTAAAAACATCTTCGATGGCGCCATGCTATCCATGACGTGTTTATTTATTTATCAACCATCAAACAGAAATGTATACAGATATATTTGTTGATAAATATTGTATTCATTAATCAACAATGATATTATCAAAAATGACTGTACATATTACAGTATATCAGATGAACTCATTTCTAAAATATTGAATTATTCAGTAAAAAAAATAAAACTAGTTTGAAATGTATTATGTTGAGAGTATTTTTATGAATCGATGTAATAATACTTGCCCACGAGACAACTTTTATTTTTCAGAGAAATCATCTTTGAAATTCTGAATGGCGTTTCCCTTGATACCTTGTTATTTGAAGGTAAATATAGTATAATAAAACCTCATTTTATTGTAACTTGTAACTTCATCGCCCTTTTTTATTTTTATTATTAACATTGCATAAATTTAACATAATACTTTTCTATATATTATATATAATATTTATTCATTGCACTAGGTATGTACATATACTTGACGAATAGAAAATTCAAAAATAAAAGGCATCGAATAGTTGATCTCTAAAGTCTTATGGATTTACATCGAACGTTGGCCTCGGATATAACTGTGTACTAGAGAATGCCACT